CTTTTTGTCCTCTTCCCCCCACATCATTTTCCCCTTCTACCATTTCCTCCATATTATTAGTTTTATATATAGTTTTGCAGTGTTCTTTACAACAAACTGAAAAACATTTAAAAAGAACTAATCACCTAACTAATGTCACCACTATATTTTGTAAATGAAGCTTTACCTTTTTTTTTTAACATCAGAACTGATTTACAATAACATGCCAACAGCTAGGCTTTCATTTTATTTACATATTTTTATAATATTGAATGAATCACTGATGCAAGCAGAGAAAATGGTTTCATATAGTTACACTTAAACTTATTAACTATGATTAAAACAGCCAGATATCACTCTGTGATTACAATTCTGACTTAATAGCAATTGAAAAAGGACTCATATATATATTTCAATGTTTTGAGATATTATATAGCTTCACAATTTTTACCTACTTTTCCCTTGCTGGATGTTTGGAAAAACAATATATTAAGTATTAAAGGATTAACTTCACACCCATTTTGGTTTTGAATTATTTTCTCTGCAACTTTTACCCTTTGCAATTTTTTTGCTTGCCATAAAAAGACTCCAAGAAGTTTATGATCTTTTAACAAGCCACACATTGTTTACTCAGACTGACACAAGTAATTTTGAAATAAATATCCTGATGTGCAAGAAAGTTTGTTCTAATGTTTTCTGAAAGACAACATGTACAATATATTGCTCTATGAAAACCTTATTGTAGTTAAGAACATATTTGTTCATTTTTATGTTCAAAATTTTTTATGATAGTGGCAGTAGAAAGAAAAAGATAATATCAAGGCGCTAAGTGAGGAAGAGACATGAGAAACAAGGAAAGGAGTATTGTGAAAGAAGCTCCATGGTGGTTTCTGAAGTTGGCTGGCAAAGTGAAACGAAATGCTAACCCATAGCAGAGATGCCATTCCACTATTTCTAGACTGATTTTCAGGCATTGTACAATTAGATGATAAACCTGGGCCATAGGAAACATGGTTAGATGATGGAGAGGACAGAATGAAGAGTCTTTCTGAATTAACCTTTTTATGTATTATTTATTTACTTACTTGAATATTAGAGTCCCAGGCAGACAGAGAGAGACAGACACAGAGACAGCTCTTCCATATGCTGATCCACTCCCCAGATGACTGTCATGGCAAGGGCTGGAACTCAGGAGCCAGGAGCTTCACTTGTGTCTCCCTTGTGGGTGGAAAGGACTCAAACATTCAACCCATGCTCTGATGTTTCTCTTAAGCCATCAGAAGGGAGCTGGATTGTACCTGGAACAGACAGCAAACGAATGAGCACTCACATGCAATGCGATGCTGCAGATGGCAGTGGCTTCATCAGCTGTGCCATAATGTTAGTCCTAAGTTAACATAACTTAGTGTGTATTGATTTATATTCCCATTTCTGAGTTGTCTGAATAGAAGCATAGACATTTATTATGGCAATGATGTGCTGTTTTTATTTCCAAATGACTATCTAAGGCATTTTCATAGTACAGAAGTCTCATAACTCACATTTTTTTAATGCAGAAGTTGGCTTTCCCCAAAGTTAGCATTCCAAATATCAGAAAGTACAAATAGTAAGTTTCTTCATGCCTGATATTCAGGTTGGCATCATGTTCCTTCTGCAATATTTATTGACCAAAGCAGTTAAACAAAAACAACCTAGGTGCCAGGAGAGGGGAAATAGATTACTTCTTGACACTAGCATCACAAACTGAATGGCTGACCATCTTTAATTGTCAAAGTATATGTGTATTGTTCTGAAGTGCATTTATTGAATGCTATCCAGGCAGAAAAAAATTGTAGAATTAAATATTCCACATTGAGATATTTTTAAACATGTGATTTTTGAATAATTAGCCATATGGTTATTACAGACTTGTAGCCTATGAATACTTATCTGAGCTATCATTTTTCTTTTGCCCTGTGTCAGCTGGTCTGTAGTTGAGGGCACTGTCTCTGTCTGCCAGTCAAATGCCAGTTGAGACAAATGATTGTAGAAGAACAACCATTTGTTCTTGAGTGAAACCCATGGAGGATCTGTAGCTACACATTGAAACACGAGTGTGAGAGAACGGGGTCACAGATCAGAGGTTATTCAGGCTTTATGAGTACTCAGTAAGTATTACCATAGCACAGTGGATTTTACGGAATCTTAGCTAGAAGTAGCAGGACGATTCAGCTCAAGAGATCTCGGAGCTCTCAGACTGTGACATTTCAAGATTCCATTAACTGTGTGTTTATTTCTTGACTGACTCCAACCCCGAGGATAGGTTAGCAATCGAGCCAATAAGTGAACATTTGAAACTAGAAATTTTTAAATTAGTTTTTGAGTTTCAGTTACACATATCAAAGCAATCTATGTAAGTAATCAGTTTGTCACCTAAATAAATGAAGATGATAGTTATGTCAAATATAACCCACAAATCATTGGTGAAAATACCACAAAATACATAGTAGGGTCTCATAAAATATATTGAAAGTGAGGCTGTAGGGCCGTAAGAGGCTTGCTTTGTAAATGCACTTTACACAGGCCAGAGCAGTGAGATAATTTTTTAGGTTTGAACTCTTGATCAGGATATTTTGTGACATTCTCTCCTAATTCATTTTTTTAATAGCCTATTGAACTCCTATGGTTATAGTATGATGGTTAAAGAATTACAGTGCAGCAATCAGAAATTCACTTCAAATAAACCAATTTACTTTGAATTCTTAAACAGTGTAACATTTACATCTATAATCTTGACAAACACTTCTCAAAATCTCCTTTTATCTCACCCCCTTTGCCATTTTCCACAGTAGTCTTCATATTCCTGTCTCCAAGTTCTTCAGGAATTTCTCCTGTAACCATGCTTTGTTTATTTCATCTTTTATCCTTATGCCTGTCTCCCAGTTTTCTAATATTTGTTCATAGCCAAGGGAAAGAATTGAGATAACAATGCACAAAACATGCTCCACAGAGTTTCACTCACTCCTCTCAACGAACAAGAATTTTCAAGTGGAATATAAACTCAGAAAAGAGGTATGATTGTTGGTGTTTTAGAGATAGAGTTACACGAAAAGGAGACCAGCAAACACAATGTCCCTCTTCCCACTTCTGCAGTTCTGGGGCAGAATGAGAAACGAGAAGCAAGCGATATTTTTGCTTGGAGAGAAGTGGCAGCACATCTTGTTTCCACTTCTTTTTTGGAGAGTTCTGAAGGAATGAGATCAAAGAGAAATACAACACACAAAAGTATGTGTATTCTATCTCTTAGTGTTTTGTCCACCATGGTATTTATCTCATATTTTAAAATTTATGTTGAAAAAGTTGTATTCATGTTTGCATTAATAACAATAATATTTACTAAATCTTAACCCTTTGATCATGTACTTTTGCTTCTAACTTCCCTACAGATTTGTTTAGAAAGAGATGGAATCTGAACATTCATAAAATGTTGATTTTTTATCACATAGTAAACTTGGCTAACAACCATAGCTTTTCTGTTTTTTGATTTTCAGATGCAACATAACCAATACTTCTTCTGTGAGGTACAACTTGCAGCGCCTTTTTCTAAGACAGTAGTGATCTCGAAGAGCCAGGAAAATTAATTGCTAAACTTAGGTGGTCGTGAGCAAAGAATCTGATGCTACTCGCATTGCTGTCTACTCTGGGTACCGTTCAACTGAGGCCTGATCAAAGTGTATGTAGGTCCTGCAGCATTGGGAATTTGAATCAAATATTTGAATTGTTGTAACAACACAATTCAGGTCTTCAAGATTTTAAGGTTGTAGTTACCAAAACAAAGCCAGATGGGAAAGCTATTTAAGTGTATTTTTTTCTTTTTCTTTTTTTTTTTAAGATTTATTTTTATTATTTTTTCATTGGAAAGGCGGATATACAGAGAGGAGAGACAGAGAGGAAGATCTTCCGTCCAATGATTCACTCCCCAAGTGAGTGCGACGGCCTATACTATGCCAATCCGAAGCCAGGAGCCTCTTCCGGGTCTCCCACGCGGGTGCAGGTTCCCAAAGCTTTGGGCTGTCCTCGACTGCTTTCCCAGGCCACAGGCAAGGAGCTGGAAGGGAAGCGGGGCTGCCGGGATTAGAACCGGCGCCCATATGGGATCCCGGGCGTGCAAGGCGAGGACCTTTAACCACTTGCGCCACCGCGCCGGGCCCTTTAAGTGTATTTCTACAAAATTAAGGGATGGCATGAGCAAAGCCAATTGAATAATATATTAAACAAAGTACAATATTTATTTTGGAATTTCATAACTGTGCTTTTTGATTTTAAAGCTCACATGAAAAATATTTCTAAGAGCCTCTTTCAGAATTTACATAAATTTAATCATCTTAGGAAAATTAGACTTTTTAAATTCCTAAGTGGTAAATTTGGCAAAATCTTCAGAAGAATCCTAAGTAACAGGGCCCAATGTGATGGCTCAATGGCTAAATCCCCTCTTCGCATGTGCTGAGATCCCATGAGAACACCAGTTTGAGTTCTGAGTGGTCTGCTTCTCATCTGTATCCCTGCCTATGGGCTAGGAAAGCAGTAGATGATGGCCCAGAGTCTTAGGATCTTACAAGACTAAGAAGCCCCTGGCTCCTGGCTTCAGATTGGCTCCACTCTGAATAATCTGAATCAATTGTACCTCCTCCTTCCACTTTCAAGGGTTCACCTTTGGACAAAATAGTTTATGGTACCCATATTTAGCATGCCATAGGCTCAGAAGTTATAGGCACCCGATACCGGGGGCTTCTTCTTACCAAGCGGGATAAAGATGTTGTTGAACGGCCACAGGTGCTTCTTGCGGTTTGGAAACGAAGTTCCCAGCCGGAGGACTATGCATACCGCAGGAACACTTAGAGCTCCTAGTATGGTTTCCTTTATTATTATGAGACATATTGGAGTAACATATTGGAGTCACTTCTTATTCCTGCAGTGGTGGCGGCAGCCGGAATCTGATTGGTCAGTTGTTATCAGAGGCTCGCGTGGCCCGCCCCTTCCGCTCCCTGAGGGGAAGCTACCACAGGACGTGCTCCTCGCGCCAAGTTCCCGCGCTGGAAGGTGGGCGGGGAGTGCGTTTGGCTCCACGCCATTTTGTTCCATCTTCTCGTCTACTCCTGAAGCTGTCGGTAAGTTTATTTATTCTGGGGCTCAGCGTCAGTAAGCCCCAGCTGAAAGCCACAGTGGTTTTTTTCACGAGGGGATTTCAAAACGTTCCTGGCAAACCCACATGATTTTACGCCAGCGCTTGTCGGTGAACTTGTTAAAAAGCGCCCTGGAAGTTAGAAGGAGTTTTTTGGTCATTTCTTTTTTGAGCCGCTTCATGGCTTTCCATGTTACCTGTTCGACTTTTCGCAGTCCCAACGTTTGGGGGCGAGTTGTGGGGACAGAGGAAGATGAGAAGAAAACCAGTTTTGTGTTATGGCATGTTTTGTGATGTAGCGATGGAGGGGTGCGTCAAGTTTCGGCGAAATTGGGCTAGGAACACACTGGGTGTTTTCAGAGGCCGCTGTGGCAGCTTCCAGCCGCGGTGTCCGCCCGAGAGTGGCCGTCTCGGTATAAGCCACAGTTCGTTCGTTCGTTCCTTCCTTCCCTCCCTCCTTCCTACCCTCCCTCCTTCCTTCCCTCCCTCCTTCCTACCCTCCCTCCTTCCCTTATCATTTTTCCCGTAGACGCAGGTTTGTGTGTCGTATATGAGGACGCTAAGCAAAGACGAGCGATCTCAAGGGACCCCCAAACGCCGCATCTAAGCCGGATGAGTAGGGAGTGCATCCCGGTTTTATCATTGCCATGGCTTGTCCTACAAATCTGGAAGTAGACCGAGTTTTGATGACGAAGAGTCTTTCAGATACCCCCACTTTTACTGAGGTGTTCCTCTTAGGTCTCACGGGACTGCGCAGCTTGTTGAGCGCCACAAGTAGCCGGGTAGCGTGGGATATGTCAGAGTCCTATCTCTTCCATTCTTTCGACTCCTTTTTGTGGCTGGGACAGGGATCAGATCCTGGTGTCCGGGACTGGCCTATGATTTTAAGAGTGATCTTATTGTTGCTGGTAAAGGCAATCCTGGATTTTAAAAAATAAAGAAATGTGCAAAAAAAAAAAAAACCTTAATGCCTTGAAAAAATTTTTAAAAAGTGGAAAATACTCATTTCTGGCAAAAAAAAAAACAGCCTTTCATGTAATAGAATTATACAAATATGATGTTTTTAATAAAATACATAGGTAGTAATAAATGTCTTAAATATATGAGAAGACACTAAATTTATCAGCTGGTTAAAAAGTTAGAAACTAAACCTCAGAAGATGAGTTAAAAACCGAATTCAGACTTTGAAAAAGGTGTAACGGGGAAAGAGGAGGCCAGAGAGAAAAACTAGAAGCGTATTTCATTGTACAGAAAAAAAAAATGCTGTTCAGACTCCAAAGGATTCAGGGAAGGCAGACAGTGCCTGAGGGAGCGCAGGGGAGGAGTCAGTTCTCGGGGCCCTGGGGCTCAGGCAACAGAAGCAGCATTTGCAAGAATCTGCACAGAGAGATTTGCCAGCTGAACAAATGGGATAAGACAGAAACCCCTCAGAAGAGGCAAGTTTCCCCTGAATAGCGTTTCCATCATACGAGGCCGTGGTAAGAGCCACCTGTATCTGCTCACAGAGACAGTCCACTTTCAGCAGCACCAGTATGCCAGAAACTGGAGGACCAGTGAGAAAATGGACGTGAAGAGGTGTTTGCTGCAGGGAATGGAGGAAAAAAATGCACATTAGTGACACTGATGGTATTGCAACTTGAAACCTTTACTCGTAAGGATGTCTGAAATGTCAAAATCATTTTTATGCCAAGTTGATTTTCCTCCCAGATAGGATGAATACACTGTGTCAAAATACACGTATTGATAGGAGCTTTCTGTATTGTGCGCTATTCATATCAACTAAGATCTTACGTGAAAGTAGCAGTATTTCTATATTTTCTTCTGTGAGATGCCATTCGACTCTGATATCTAAGAACACAGTGTTGTTTGGAATCCAGATTTGGTTGGAGAAACACGTAATTAGGCGATGTTTCTCTGTTAAGATATCATGGACTGCACTCGGGCCACATAATACAGCTTGTTCCTCGTAGGTAATCTACATAGTATGTTGCTGCATTGAATACCATAGTGATATTTGTGTGTGTGTGTGTGTATAATTTAAGCATAGAGAGGGTATGAAAACCAATGGTGTACCTCTCTAGGGCATTTCCCATATGCAAGCATGTTGGCACACTAAAAGGTGTTCTGGGAAGGCCGGGCACCGCGGATCATTCGGCTGGTCCTCCCGCGTAAGTGTTGGGATCCTGTGTGAGTGCCAGTTCATGTCCTAGCTGCTCCACCTGCACACCTGTGGGAGTTTCAGAGGAAGCTCCTGGCTTCAGATCGCCTCAGCCTCAGCCATTGTTTCTATTTGGGGAGTGAACCCGCAATGGAAGATCTTTCCTTCTCTTTGTAAATCTGCCTTTCCTATAAAATATCCCTCCCCTTTTTCAGAGAAATTGCTTTGGGAGAAGCAATGAATGAGTGGTGAGTAGAATTGAAAACCTAAGACATTGTTGTACCATAACCTTTGTAAACACTATGCACTTGGGCCTCACCAAATTTAGAAAGGACACCATTATGCTCGGTGAAGTAAGCCAGTCCCAAAAGACAAATATTGTGCTCTTTCCCTCACTTGTGGTAATGCACAGAATACAAAATAAATGTAATATATATGAACAAAATTGACATTTTTATATTTGATTTTTATTTATTGGTGTAACTATACTTTTGAGGAATAGTGTTTTTTTTTTTTTTTCTTACTACTTGAATTCTTCTTAGTGAAAAGTTAGGATTCTGTTACAAGGTAAATTGAAAGTATGTAATTGTAAAGATTAAAAGGAAAAAAAAAAGACGGGAATGGGAATGCCAGAGGTGTCTGGTGCTGGGCTGGGGAGTATCATCAGGATGTTAAATTGTCTGCCCCTGGATGGCTCGCTCTGGCTGTGGCAGCCCTCTGGGCGGTGACCCAGCAGATCTCTGTGTCTCCTTATAAATCTGATCTGCTCATCCAATAAAAATAAATATAAAACTCAGTATGTTGGATGCTTGAAATGTATACCCTTTAGATAAATACCACATAATGAACAACAACAATAAAAAAGTCTTCTTAGAAACCTGGTGATTTGAGTCCTAAATGCACAACTTCAGTATATGAGTAAGATGTTTGCAGGAGTTATATAGCTATGTATGTCTCAGACCAAGTGTTGAGTCTCATTTCTTCTTGAAATAAGTTCTTGGGGATTTTCTCCCCAGTTCTTTTAGCCCTTATCTGAGTACCTAATGCCATGTATAATCTTTAGCTTTGGGACAGTTTCAGGTCTCTATTCTCCACAGAACTTAATCAAAGTGGGTTTTATGTCTTATTATGCAACCTGTTTTCCTTATAGGTAGATTTACCAAATAGAAGAGTGTCTTACTCATTTGCCTTTCTTAGCTCATGTTTTTACATTGCTGTTGCAAGGCTTCAAAATTATTTTGTTTTCTGCATAATGTTAATGACAGTTTCTCAAGTAGGGTGCAATGGAATCTAGCTAAGAAAGATGAAGCTACCACAAGTGAAATTATTAGTGTATAGTAGATTATAGAACATTTGAAACTTGTAATAACTGAAAGTCTGAAAGGGTAGTTATCTTGGGAATAATTGATGATACTTAGTAGAGGAGGAAGTACATGAATTTGACCCTGCTTTGTAGTAGAAATCAAGAAAGTAGTACACTTCGGAAATTAATATGAACCGAGAGCATTTATACATATTTCTTAACTGTTTTCTCCAGCTGCAGTGTAGAGTGATGAACAGGGGGTAAAGAATAGTCTCTTCCTTCGTGAGTTTACAGTGTAGAAACTTTATCATTCACACTCATAAATTGGTAAGTATTATCATTAGGTAGCAGAAAACACAGCAATGATTATGTCTGGTTAAACCAAAGAATTTAGTCCCTATTCTGTAAGAAATGTAAGCTGAACATAGCTTTTTTTCCCTGCAATTTAGGATTGATTTTACTCAATTTTACTTATTTACAAGGCATAGAGAGAAAGAACAGGTCTGCTTTTTCACTTCAAATATTTCAACCTCTGTAGAGATTGGAAAGGCCACAGGCAGGACCTGGGGAATTCATTTCTGGTCTCCCGTATGGTGAGATGTACTCAAGCAACAGAACTATCACCTAGTGTGTGCCAAGGTATGCATAAGCAGGAGAGTGGGATTGGGAAAAGAATCTAGAATTTCTCCGGAAATTGATACAGGATGTAGGTGTTCCCTGGGGTGGCTGAACCACTGCAGCAAACACGCACCGATCTGAACAGTTTTTAAACAAGCAAGGAAAAAAATGCAACAAAATATTTTAGGAAACTTGGCTGTTGATGATTTGAGTGGAAAAAGTTGTGAGCTGGAAATTAGGAAAAACTGCAATAATATAAGGCGTAAATTATAACAATGCCAAATACAGTTGTGGCTTTTAGAACTGAGAATTTCAAAGGGAAGGCAAAATTCTTGTGGCCCTCATTTATGAATTGAAGCAAAGAGGTAATTTAGAGTTAATGTTAGAGTTTAGAGGACCTAACAAATTTGGGAGGGAAAGTGATAAGTAAAAATATCCATATTTGGATTTTACTCAATGAGCATGTATACAAGAGAAAGCTCATTAGATACTGAAAATGTGGAACTAGAATTCTGGGCTGGGAGTGGAAGTTTAAAATTCACCAACCTAGAGTATTCTAAGTGTATAGGTGTCTTTTGAATTATAAGGCTGAAAGGTTAGCCTAGATGATGAAAAGGAGAAACAGAGGTGGAAGTCAGACAACATAATCAGAAAGTCAGGAAAGCTGAAGAAATACATTCAAACAATGTGGTTAGCAGTACCAGGTTCTCAGGTAAGGTAATAGAAAATGGGAGTGCTGGTCTCACTCACCTTGACCCTAATCACTCCAATCAGCTATGTAAAAATCATCAAAAACAAAAATAATAATTTAAAAAAGAAAGAAAAAGAAAATAGGATCTAAGAAGTCTTCATTAATTCTCTGGTTTAAAATATCACTCAAAACAAGAGAAGGATATTTCTGCAATAA